CCGACCCTCGAGGATCAAGTTTGCCCATCCCTGGTTTATTGTCTGACTGACAGAGAGACATATGTCTGATCCATTTTGGCAAAAATGAAACTGTAGTTTTCTTTGCATTTTTGGAGCACAATAGCTGGTAGCTAACTTTAAGACATTGAGGAAAAACACAGAGCATTATAATTTTGATGTCAGGAGGACTTTAACAGGTAGCCGGATGTTTGAGTTTGGAGCCCGGCTGCTGCTATTGCATCAGAACGTCTCAATATTGTGCGAGGACGAGCACATATGGGAAATGAGAGTGACCGGCCTATGCTGTAATCAGCAGCTCTTGTGCTCGTTTCCTTTTTTCCAGCCTGTAAAATGTGCCCTTGTGACAATTAGCAGACTGATCATTAGCGCTATTTGTGTGTTGTGCCAGGCATCAGTTTCCGGGAATGTCATTCTGCCCAGCACGTCATGATCTGAGCATGTTATTTTTCCGCTTGATGGCTTGTTTTTGTTTTTTCAAAATTTTTTTTTAAATTGTGTTACCATGGCACTGTGAGTCACTGTCAGTCCAGTGTCAACTTTGTTTATGTGGGCCGCAAACATGTATTAAAAGGGAGCCACGTGTTCTTTGTCTTTTCAAATAATCCATTTGATTTACCAAATAAAATGTCTGTTGTATGTCACATTAATTGTAGTTGACACAATGCAAGCGCAAACTGTAACCCATAAGAATGCTATTTTTTTTACTTGGTTGTTTTTGTTGTTGTTGTTATTATTATTATTATTATTATTATATATGAAAGGGTCAAATTCATAAATACGTTAACATTATCAGAACATTTAATTTCACATAAATGCATTTTAATATATTTATGATTTTTAATTTTTCTAACTTTTTTCTACTATACATTAATATATCTTATTTTCATTTATATAATAAATTTAAATAGAGTTTTTATTGAAATATTTTTTGTTTTTTATTTTGAGCTGCATTTTTCAAATTTTTTAAATACTTTTTGAATCATTTTAGTTTTTCTTTTGAATTAATTAATTAAGTTTTGTATTTAAATTTTTTACCTTTATGTAGTTTATTTTTATTTTATTCTTATTTAAGAATTAATAATTATTTTTTTTATTTTACATTAAAATGATAGTTAACTATACTCTGTTTCATTCTTTTTGTTGTTTATATATTTTTTAAATTATTTTACTTTTGACATATTTTAGGTACTTTTGTATTAGTTTTTTTTATATTTTTTATTTTATTCATTTATTTTTTGTTTCATTAATCTTTTCATTAATTATTATTTTTTTCTTACAGTAATTACATTTTGTTTTACTTTTTTTGTTATTTTAGCTATTGTTGTTATTTGTTTATATAATTTCTGAAGTTTATTATAATCTACTGTTAAAAAAATCGGTTCAAGATGATTCATGCCAATTATTAATGTCATGTAAATCAAGTCACTGTGCAAAAAAATTATACTTCCATGAAGTATAATTATTTTTTCTTTTTCCATACATACAGTATGTATCTTATAAAACGACTTCTTATCCCCAAATCACAGCTTTATTTCTTAGCAATTCAAAGCAAATGTCAACCTTGCCATGAAAAAACAATTAAGTTTTACCAATATAGTGAAACCTTTTCTAGGTTTTTTGTGGCTTGTATTGTACAGTACTGTAATATTCAAAAATGTATCTGTCAATGATTTCAAACAATTATATTTAATTTACCAAAGTCACCAAAGTTTCACATCTGTCACATCCATAACAAAGCTTTTTCCTTATAAATGCTAAAATGCAAAATAAAATGAAATCAATCATTTTTGTTGTGTTGAGAGCAAGCTCTTATTCTTTTGATGATCATTGTTTCTTTCGGGTTGTGCAGTTTAATTCATAGTATTTCTACAAAGTATCATGTATACTGTAAACTTTTTTGGTCAACGTATGTCTATTTTCCTCATTTAAAATATTAAATGTTTACAGATGGATATTTTTCTGATCTCATAACTCTGTGGTTGGTCGTTTTGGAAAAAATAAACCGATGTTTCAATATAATGTTAAGATACTGTACCGTGAATGTCACATCTATAGCGCTGGAATTCCTCTTCTAAAAATGATTGATCCCCTGAACACAATCACCAAAACAAAAAGTTCCTGTCTGTATCTCAAGCAATCAGTGTGTCTCCATATTTCCTGTTATTGTTCGAGCATTGCTGCCCATGAGTCTGTTTCCTCTTCACGTCTTCAGTTGCGTCTTTGAAATTTGCCGCCTTTTGGTTCAACCGTGGCCCAGCAGTTTCCTCTTCTCATGACGAACGCCTACTTCCTCCAACTCTTTCTTTATCTCTCTGTCTTTCTTGCCGCTTAAGACAAGTTTTTTGTGTGTAAACTATTGTTTTTTAACATCTCCTGTTGACCATGCGTCACAGTGGAGAAACGGAAAAGCGCACTGTTGCAGAGTAAACGGTGTGAAGAAAAGCTGGAAACATCGAGTTGTTGAAGCTGAAGTTTCCGGGTGAGTTTCTTGATCTTTCTGCTGCTCAGGGTGTGGTTTTTGTCCATTGGGGTCAAATCTGTGACCCCCTAATATGTTTGCATACAAACTTCTTTACATGCAATTTCTGTTTTGTAAATGTAAGTACAGTATGCTGGAGAAATGGTTTTGTTTGGTCTGTCTGCTTTGTTAAGGTGTCTCCATTGAGTAGGCAGAGCAATATTGGCCTAGATTATTGAAATGATGTGTTTTTGTAGATATTTTTGAGTTTATGGCTGTTTAGTGTCTTTTCACACTGGACTGTGGAGCTTGTGTTAAAGTCAGGCTTATTTTTAGTTCATTCTTTTGATTGTTGATGATTAGTTTTTTCATTGTAGCTTTAGTATTTTTCTCGTGGATTGTTTGTGATCCATTATAAATGGGTATTTCCCGTTTTGGATTATAAAACATGATTGAAACTGCTTGATTCGGTCTAATTATTTAATTTAGGTGTCTCAAATGAGTGGGAAGGACAATACACCGACTAAGATGTGTATATTGCTGATTTTATTTAATTAATTATTATTTTTTGATTGCATATTTTACCTTTTTGTTTTTAATTTAGTTAAATGTTATTTTTATTTTCATTTTCATTTTTATTTTTTTAATTATTTTTTATTTTTTAAATCCATATTTTATATTTAATCTTTTTTATTTTTTATTTACATTTTAATTACAGAAATTTTATTTTATTAATAATTTACTCTAATTTTAATTTTTTTTATTTTTGAGTAAATTTTTTTTATTTTATATTTATTTTTTTATTGAAGCTTTAAATACAGATTTTACATTTTAATTTTATTTTATTATTTTTGCTTTATGGACTGCTTTAGTTTATTTTCCACAATGTATTGCAGAGTTTATGGTAAATGCATGCATGTTTTTAGTTCATACATTTCAGTTCATGTTTTTAGTTTAAAAATAATTTAGTTCATTATTTTTTTCACCAGGGTAAGCAGTTTGTGGTCCTGGGTTCAGATCTGAGACTTTTACTATTGTCGAAAATATTTATTTCGATCTGTTTGCTTCAGTACAGTTTTGTTCCTGCAAAATTGCTTTAAATTATGCGTTTTATTTTAGATTTCAGATTTGATCAGATGTTTTAACACCAGTTTAGTGACATTTTCTACAGTTTATATTATATTTAGGTGACTGGCGAGATGCAAATGTTAGGATTTTGAGATGTGGAAAGTGCTGCTAAACTGTAAGTGATTTGACAGGATATCCTGGTTGCTGAATGAGAGACTTGTTTTTGACACCAGTAGCTGTAGCTCAGCTGTATCTGCTGTAGCTCAGACTGAATGAAAGGGCACACAATCTCTTGTTAGTTTTATTGTGACATAGAAAATATGATAAACATTTCTCTCAATTTTTTTATATTTACAGATTATTTTTAGTGATGTGGAGTGGAAATGAATATGAAAATAAAGATTTCTGTTGTCAAAACATCATTTTTTGTTAATGTTCATCTCACATTGTTGCCCAAACAGTTTAAAGTTTAAGTTGTTGCCCAAAGATTAGACTAAGGATGTTATACCATGGTATTAATAAGGATGGTATACCATGGTATTAATAATGTCTTTTGGGTATTATTATTTTCTTATGCTTGAATATGATTATTTGTGGTATCATATAATAATAATACAATGTGATATGTGCACTTACAGTACTACAGTTCTTTTTTATAATGATAATCTACAATTATGTCTAAATACACTTTTTACTAATCATTTTTAATGTGTTTAGATGTACTGTATTTTGTGTATTTTTTTAAGAACAAATTATTGTATTATTAACAAGAACAGCAAAAAGGAATTTAGTAATTACAGCTATTTGATGTGAATTAACTGACAAATAAATCAGCTAATTATTTGCATGATACTATATTTATTAGAAATATTATTATCATTATTATGAAACCGTTTTAAACCTTTTATTATTATTTAAAGACTTTGCTGTTCTTTTGATTTTGGTTTCATTCAATTGTTAATTCTCATAACTATGGATCGCTAAAAATATGAATAATAGATCATTGTTATAATGGATTTTATATAGTAAAAAATATTTATTCATGTATTGTATCATGTTTGTCGGCGCCAATAACCTAGTGGTTAAGTGCACCGAGACATAGCACCCAGGTGCTCACGGGGACCCGAGTTCAATTCCCGGCTCGAGGTCCTTTGCCACCCTTCCCCTATCTCTGCTCTCCATACTTTTCTGTCTGTAAATCTCCATTGTTCCATCACAATAAAGGTGAAAAACCCCTTTAAAAATTGTATAATATGTTTATTCATGTGTTGTTCCACAACGATGATGGTGATAATAATAATTATGATAATAATGATATTATTATTAATAATAATGAGGATAATAATAATTAATACAATAAATAACAATTTGTTTATTGTATGTGTGTGTGTTTGTGTGTACGTGTGTTTTTTGTTTGACACAGTTTACACTCTTTTCCACACATGCTTGTCTGAATGGCGTGACATTTACTATGAATAGTGAATGAGTCAGAGTGAGTTTTGTGCATGTGCACGAATGTTACAGTATGTACGTTCATCATACTCTCATGAGATCGTCATGACAGACATAAATATCCAGGCCAAATCTCCAATATCTCAGTCTGACAGCTATGCTTTGTATGATTCTTTCCTATGGTCATTCTTGCATTTATATCACTAAATTAGCAACAGAAGGAACACCAGACCATTTATTTGTTTGTGTCTCAGTATGGGATGTATCACAAAGAGGTCATGAACTGGCTTGTTTCAATAATTTATTCTGTTTTCTGAGGTCTACGTATGAGGTTTGCATGGCTTTTACTTAAAAAAAAAAACAAATCTGTAAAGAATAAGCTTTTTATTAAGGTTTTGAGGCTATCTTGGAGAATGCACTAATATTCTGGGCGGTCTGGTTTGATGGATTGTAGGTAAACGGCCACTGCTACGATTGGATAACAGTTCAGTATAGTAAAGTATCAGTAATTGACTCCTCCATCAGTTTATGTGATATTCTTAATCAGAGCAGCATTTAACCCGTACATTCCAGAATCTGCTGTTTTCTGACGCTGGTGTCAATTAAAGCCGTTATTTCAGTAACCATTTTCAGCTCTGAAACCTACAGGATATTCTTTAAGTACGATGACCTCTAATATATCAAAAGCTTATGAAAAACTTGAGATAAACTGGATACTGTCTGTTTTTTTTTTTTAAGATACATTATATATATATATATATATCAGGACTGTCAAATGATTACAAAAATTAACGTAATTAATCACACTTTTTTGTAATTAATCATGAAATGCCGTATTTATTACAGAAATACAAACACAGGCATTTAAGTGCCACTTGAATTTCAAAACAATCAAAGCCAATAACAAACAAAAAAGATTTCCATGTTGGATTCTAAGTGCCCCCCCGTCCCCTCCCCCCACACACACACATTCATTGTTTTATACTTAAACTTTCCTTGTAAAAGCGCATCCATGGTCTTATCCAATTTTCTTGCACGTTAAACACACGCAGGATCAGAGCAAGCTGAACTGGCGCTTTAGGGAAACAGCAACCACGCCACCCTAAATTCGAAGGTGACCGGTTTGCGGTTGAAAGTAGGACCATAAGAGAGGGGGTGGGTGTAGCAGATGAAAGTGAAGACCAGGGGGTTCGCTCACTATTATTCTGCCCAAGGCGGCTGCCTAGGTTGCCTCTATGCACATGCTGGCCCTGAACACATGTCGGCCACAAAAGGAAAAAAAAATTGCAACTGTTATTTTTTTACGCGTTAAATATTTCAAATTAATCACGTTAACATGCTAATTGACAGCCATAAAAATATATATATATTTACTTTTTAAATTTTTTTTTACATTTTTGATCATTATTATTTTTTATTATATTTGTTTGTTTATCATTTAATTTATTTTGTATTAATTTTTTTTCAAAAGATTTGTAAAAGTGCTACACTGTAAAAAAATCTTGTTAAAAAAAATCAAATTAACTTTCCTAGTCATCTCAATGTGCATCAATCAAACTGACTACAATATTAAGTTAAACTTGGTACAACTTTAACAATTAGTTGAACCCTGATTAACTTTAAAATAGCTTAAAGGGCCATGAACACCCAGCCCCTCCGCAGTTCTCGGTAGATGCAGAGACTCTGTAAGTGCCGTGTGTATAGACTATCCTGTCACAAAATGCGGCGAAAATCCTACACGATGGTTATAGTTTGATTGCGGTGTTTACATGTTTACATTCAGAGAGCAGCATTTACAGTGGATCTTTCAGTCCATAATATTGTAGTGATATTAAAGTTCTGTAAACTTAGTAACTAAATCATTTTGACTAAGGTATGTCTTTAAAAACTGAAGGAGTACTGCTGAAAAAAACTAACTAGCTTTGCCATCTGAATAAACATAAAGCAAATCGATCTAACACTTACCATGTCTGTAGAGACAGGACTATCAACACCAACTGGAACCATGTCTTTTTTTAAAAGGAGACGGGTGGCAAAATCAGATTTCACCATTTCCAGATGCGAAAAGCTCTCGGGTAAAAAATGTTCCTTACAAATATATTTTTTGTCGTGTGTTAGCAGACCACTCTAATCCACACGTGAGTCCAGCTTTGTGCTCGTAGTGAGGAATTAAAAACAAAACCTTCACTGACGACCCATGTCTCCAAACAATTCTTCTTCTTCCACTTGTTTTAATTATGGTTGGCAACACAATGTGGGGTCATTGTAACAGGTAAAAACAGTCCTCAAAGCTATCATGCATGTTAATGAAGTTGCACCTGATTCACAATAGAGCGCGCTGAAGTCTTTCTCATGAATTGATGGTAAAAGCTTAAAGACGTCATATTGTACACGCCGGTACAAACATCCAGTCTTCATGCTGGAATTCACACAAGGATCTCATGGCCGTAACATAGCTTCAAAATTTATATTTTTCAAAAATACATCATACTTTACATGCT